GATTTCCTTACACTGAATTTTTATCTGGTAAAAATTAAGCTGCAAAAAATTCCCCTGCAAAAAAATATAAAATAAATAAATAAATAAATTGCCTGTACTTATATAGCACTTTTTGAAGTCAGAGGACTTGATCAAAGCTCTTTACACCACATTCACTCACACACTCACTGGTGGCAAGCTACATAGTAGCCATAGCTGCCGAACAGACTGCGCCAACAGTCCCTCCGACCAACATCGGTAGGGGGCGGGGTGAAGGGCCCCATGAACATAACGACACTGAAAGCCGGAGCTAGGGCTTGAACTGACAACCCTTCAGTTGCAGGACAAACTCCTTCCATCGTAGATGCATGTCCACTGTGAGAGACATAATCTAAAAATCACAATAAAGGATTTTAAAACTATGTATGATATAGCTGCAAATAAGTGTTTTAAACACCTGTCTATCAGCTAGAATTCTGACCCTCAAAGACCGGTTAGTCTGCCTTCAAAATGTCCACCTCCTCTCCATTTCCAGCTGTCCTCTCCATACAATCAGTAAGAATCCAACATCTAACATGGCCAAGACCAAACACCTGTCCAAATACACTAGAGACTAAACTGTACACCTCCACAAGGCTGGAAATGGTTATGAAGAAATTGTCAAGCAGCTCGGTGAAAAATGGTCCACTGTTGGTGCAATCATTAAAAAAATGGAAGAAGCTAAACATGACTTTCAGTCTCCCTCTGGGGCTCCATGCAAGATCTCACCTCATGGGGTCTCAATGATCCTAAGAAAGGTGAGAAACCAGCCCAGAACTACACAAGGGGGAGCTGGTCAATGACCCGAACAGAGCTGGGACCACCGTTTCCAAGGTTACTGTTGGTAATACACTAAGACGTCATGGTTTGAAATCATCACGGTAGGTTCCCCTGCTTAAACCAGAACATGTCAAGGCTTGTCTTAAGTTTACCAATTAGCATTTGGATGATCCAGAGGAGTCATGGTGGAAAAGTCATGTAGTCAGATGAGACCAAAATAGAGCTGTTTCTAATCGGGAGAACTTGCAAAAAAGCAGGATGTTCAAATACTCATTTTCCTCACTGTAAGTACAGCTCAAACTATTAAGTATTCAAAAATGTGTACAGTTGTTAGAAAATTAAGAAAGTACATCAACCACCTAAGTATGGCCATGAAAATTCTCAGTCAATCAGTTTTACTCACATTTTAAGTGATGCTTTTATAAATTTTAAATATTTTAACATGTTTGTTTACTTCTTTGTAGTGGGTATCAAGACCCCATAACCATTAACGACCTCCAGTGGGGTCATAATCCCAACTTTCAGAGTCAATGGCTCCATCCCAATCGGGTAAAGTCACTTAAGCCAAAGTTGTAGAGCATCAGCGCCATCATGTGTGCAGTTGAATAGATCTGGCATAAGAATCTCTGAAGGTTTCTTTCCATCATATGAGCTATACATATTTATAAGCACATATAAGCAGCCCAACACAGTAAAAAAAAAAAAAAAAAATGTGATGCATCTAAATTTATGCATCTTCATTTGTTTCGGCTTATATGATGGAGCGCTTCAGCAGTTCACTACATTTATGTGACTCACTTTTTTTTTTTTTTTGGAGGGTTCAACTTATTAAATAATAATTAATTAACTAGTGTCATTCATGTTCATTTCCATTGAGTAATGAGTTTGGCAGGGATAAAATTTTCCGGATTCAGCCAAACGTCTGGAGGTCTTTTCCTACCCGCATTATACATCTTACTGTTGACCCCAAGGAAGATGAGATGGAAACATGAGCAAGGAAACAGATATTTTGAAGAAATAATACATTATTGATCCAAAAGTCCTGTTGAGAGTTTTAATTTATCTGGTTGTTTTTTTTGTTTTTTTACCACAAAATAACTGATGTCTGGTCGCTTGAGCTTCAAAAGGAGGAAATAAGAGAACCTGTTCTTATTCTTTGGAATATGTTTTGGAAATTAAATGATACATATCTAGTCATGAAATTATTTGGAACGCTTCCAATTTACTTTTGATGTTTTTTATAACCTTACATCCAAGCATGATCTGTGATTTAATCATCTTATTTTAGAGCATAACCTGCATAAAGTTATAATTTTGCATTGAAATGAAGAATGCCTGCCCTGTAACGTTTGTTTAAAAATGTAATCTCTTTCCCTCCATTGATTAGTTCTTTAATAACTATGTAATAGATTTAGCTAAGCGCTTATCTATTCCCAGATAAAGACTATATATACACTATGAACAAATAATCTGGTTAAACTTTTTTTTTCTGTGATCGCTCACTGGGTAGAACTATTAAAACCATATAGTAATCCGAAAATATGCTAAAAAGTTCAGTTTAATCTCTACAATCTAAATTAAATGCATTTTTTATAAATCAAGGTCTTTTTTTCTAATGCAAATCATTAAAAGTATGTGTATTATTTGATCATTTTGTCCTTGCTTGTATCTATGCAAGAATTGTAAAAATGGTTAAGGTCTAAAGAATAAAGGAATGAAATCAATAAAAAAAACAAAAAAAAAACAAAACAACAACTACATTTTAAGACAAAAATTAATATACTGTAATTTTATGGAAGGCTGCAGTGCTTCTGCAGTACGCTAGTTACCTGCTCCATGAGGGGAGTCGAAGGAACGATGCACTGTTTGTTGGACTGAAACAATCGATTGTTGAAATAATCATCAACTAATATAGTAATCCATTAATCGTTAACTTGAGTTAAGACACTGTAAAACATGCCTTCAGGTAATAGATCAACCAACCATTGAGCAGCAGTTATTGTCATGTTTGGCTTAAGGTTCCTAACCCACATGCAGAACACATTGAAGCAGGAGAAAAGTTCAAAGGTTTATTGAGATGACTCTGTACAGAGAATAAACAGATCCAGGGGTTAATCAGATCCAGGACTGGTCACGAGTGGGTTCACTGTTCTGGAGTTTGAGCTTAGTGGCTGAGGGGGGGAACCTTGAGGGTCCAGAGGCTGTCGGCAGGCTGAGGGCTTGGCGGAGGCAGAGCTTGGTTTGAGTGTTTGCAGATCACAGATTTGAATTTCCCTTCCAGATTCTTCAGAGAGCGGGCAGGCAGGTCTTTGACAGGAATGATTCTCCTGGGTTCTTTCAAAGATCAGACAGGCAGATTTCCAACAGAGAAACTCTTCAGGGTTTCTGGTTTCAAGCAGGTTCAACCATAACTGGCAAACACTCTGGTGTTGGAGAGACGTCCTCTGCCTCCTTAAATAGGTCCAAGGCTGATGAGGAGATTAAAGACAGGTGTTGCAGATGAGCACAAGCCATCAGGAAGGGATCCTCAGCGCCCTCTGGTGGGCAAACCTCCGGATCCCAACAGTTATACCAAAATTAAAAAAAATATATAAGCATTTTGCATTTAAGATAAAAAAGCTTTTTTGTCAGTCAATATGCCCTATCCAGAACTCCTCAAGAAAAATAATTTTAGTTTCATCCGGTTTAATTTAATAAAAATTCTTCTTTAAAGAATGTTTTGCTATACAATTATAAATCAAGAAAACAACTGAGCGATTATTTGAGTTCCAAAATACTCGTTGGTTGCTGGCCCAGCTGTTTGGTACTCATTGGTATAATGTGCAAATAAAACCAATGGTGCTGTTGGATGAGCTGCTCCATGTTTTCTTTGAGTGATTATGACTATATACAGACCATTTGATTATTTTTTTTATTAAATTTGCTATGAAGATTTAATGTTTAAATATACTGTTTATTGTTATCATTTACAGAAACTGTTACAACACTGAGTTTTCACATAAAGTGCAGAGCCAGGGAAGCCTGTTCACTGTAAAAAAAAAAAAAAAAGTTGGATGAACTCAAAATTTCAAGGCAACAAACTTCGATAAAACTTTAAGTTGGCCAATTAAACTAAAAATCTTAAGTTATGCTTTTGAGTTTGCTCAACTCTGAATTCTAATTTTTGTGAACTCAACTGTAAGTTGAGCTAACTTCTAATTTTACATTGTAATAACTTTATTCTACTAACTCTCTAGTAAGTTGTCCTAACTTCTAAATTTACGTTTTAGTGACTTTAAAATCATTCTTCTACTAACTATCCTGTAACTTGTACTAAATTTAAATTTTACATTGTAATAACTTCAAATTCCTTAATCTACTAACTATCCCATAAGCTGTACTAACTTATGATTTGTATAAATAATTACATATGCAAGATATACTTTCAAAACTTT